TATTGATTTTTTTTTTGCTAGTACCTTCACTCATCTCACTTTATAGTGATCTGTCAAACTTACAGACACATGTTTGTGCACAGATAGACACCTGCAACATATAGGTAAACAGATGAGAATTCACACATGCATGCAAGCACCTGCTTAATTTCACATAAGCTATTAAAATTCTGCATACACTTATTCAAATAAATACACACCTATATTTATACAGCGCTTTTTTTTTCTATAAAAGAAAGGTGCCGGTAATCACCACTGAGTGTATAACAAGGTGCCAGTAATCACCACTGAGTGTATAACAAGGTGCCGGTAATCACCACTGAGTGTATAACAAGATGCCGCTACTCACAACACAAGAGTCTTCTATTTCAGTAACACTAAAAAAAAAAACCAGGGTCTTTAAAGGTGCTCGTACCACATACCGACAGAAGAAAGCTCTGTGTTTAAATCTGACTGACTGACTGACTTTCTACCCCACTAGGACATCACACAAGCGATAAACACCCGATGACACAAGGTGCCACCATGTGGATGAGGATCACCGTGGAGAGGTCCCAGAAACCGCATTCAGACAATTGGCCATATTTATGGCCTGCCTATATTGCGGCCCCTGGCAAAAGCCAGGGTGGGGCTTCAAATAACAAAAAATGTCATCCTAAAAAGGACGTAAGGATTATCTCCCACATTTATTTTGTTGGTGTTTAAATCTGACTGACTGACTGACTTTCTACCCCACCAGGACATCACACAAGCGATAAACACCCGATGACACAAAGTGCCACCATGCGGGTGAGGATCGCCGTGGAGAGGTCCCAGAAACCGCGTTCAGACATTTGGCCATATGTATGGCCTGCCTATATTGCGGCCCCTGGCAAAAGCCAGAGTAGGGCTTCAAATGACAAAAAATTTAGTCCTAAAAAGGACGAAACTTTAAATCTGGCTGGCTGGATTGGCTTTTTACCCCACCAGGACATCACACAAGCGATAAACACCCGATGACACAAAGTGCCACCATGCGGATGAGGATCACCGTGGAGAGGTCCCAGAAACCGCGTTCAGACATTTGGCCATAATAATGACCTGCCTATATTGCGGCCCCTGGCAAAAGCCAGAGTGGGGCTTCAAAGAACAAAAAATAACGTCCTAAGAAGGACGTAACTAATTGACTTTAAATCTAAACAATAACACTACACGCACTTATAGATTAGGATTCAAAATTAGGTGACTGAAAATGGACTGAGGATATGAATGAGGATTCAAAAGTATTTAACTAGAAAGGTAATTTCATACAAACATATTTTGTTTATGTCGAAAAAATGTTTAGCCAACGTCGCATACTTCCACATTTTCATTTTTTTTTTAAATGGTAAACTAACGCACACACTTGTAAAGTTATACACAAAGTGGGATTTAAAAGGTGCACCAGCACATTTGAGCATTATCAATTGGCAAAAACAGCTTTGTACAACAACAAAACCACACACGCAAGCACACACACAGGTCATATTAAGCTCATAAACATTTACTATTCCATGGCTTAAAATTCACTTAACACAGCAAGGCAAAAGAATGGCTCCATCATTCGTCATGTACAAAGCCCTCGGTTCTGGTTCGAGGAAGAACTATGAAATACGACAGGTGTTTTTGCCTTGACTACGAGAAGTCTGACTATAAAGGTGATGGTGGTAACAAAAGCAATGATGTGAATAGAGACACATAATTTTTCCCATGCTACTTTCTGCTTCCATGAGCATGATTAAGAAGATCGAGACAGGATGGGTTCGAAGACAGTGGTTGGAATCATAGAGGAAATCTTATCTGAAAGGAATCAGTTTTGTGTGTGTGTGTGCCAGGGCACTAGGGTAAGAGGAAATAAACGATAAGATTGGCTTGCTGGTAGAGCCATGGAAAGGCCGATGTTCTCAGGGCTTTCAAGGAGGCAGGACAAGTAGATGATTCAGGAGATGATAGTAAACCAGCACAATGAAAAAGGCAAGAACTTTAGGTCCAGAGAGGTATCACCTGACATAAACTAGACAGGTGGCTAAAGAAGAATAGTCAACCAACACAGAACCGGTGTTATCAGTCACCATATTGAGGAAAGTACTGATGATAGGATCTGAGCGCTTATGTGCTTGTCTAAAGTGCGATGAGGATGGTCTGTCTATTAAGTTTCTAACGAAGGCATAAGAGGAGCAAGAGATTATGAGCAAATGTCTGTAATGTGTATGTGGAACAGTTGTGACTTGTGTGTTCTAATTATTACTTCCATTTCAAGCAGAAATGGAGGAGCAGGAGTGCACACTAAGCATCGAATAATACCAAATATACAGCTAAAATACCAACAGGAAACGCACGTACAACTATGATGCAGAAGTTCAAGCCATCAAAATAGCAGAAAAACTGCTAAATACCAATCATATTTCACAACCCATGGTATTCCTGACAGATGCAAGAGCAGTGCTTCAGGTACTTAATTCTGGAAAATTACCTGGTAAATAGACAATACTCTCCAAATTAGTAACCGGTGTAAGGTAACTATGCATTGGATACCATCCCACTGTGGAGTTCTCAGAAATGAAAGAGTTGATAAACTAGCTAAGGAATGTGCAGACAAAAAACAACCTGATGTAACAGTCTCTTAACAGAAGGAGAGAATAATTAATCAGAAAGCTACCAAAACTGACACAAGATGATTACTATATCATGGAAAGACCAGAGCACGTCATTATTCAACGCCTTAGAACAGGGCACATCGTATTTGCAGCCTCATGTGATTAAATTTAAGATTGGTGGTTCAGGCATGAGGATATGTGGATTGACACCTGAGACAACAGATCACATTTTCCAAGACTGTACAACAAATACATCAAAGCAAAACCTTTGGCAAATGCAAACCAAACTGAGATACAACATTGCAGATATAGATAATCTGTTTCAAGCAAATAAAGGAAGAAGAAGAAGAAGAAGAAGATAATCTGTTTCAAGCAAATAAAGGAAGAAGAAGAAGAAGTTCCATTCTGTGACTTGTGATTGTCTTGTTGAAAGGCTGACCCTTGTCACTTGATGATTTTGTTAATTTATTTCATAATATGCACGACAAAAGTGGACAGACAATCAGCAACAAGCCAATGCTTGGTGTGCCTTGTGCCTTCAACCTTAAACTATCTTATCTAGTCAGATTTCTCCACCTGTTCCTGGCCCTACATTTCCCTCCATCTGCCTGATATGAACGTGTTTTTCAACATATATTTTGACTGTTGTAAATGTGTTCCAGTCGTGATGTATGCTTGACATATTGCAGTATTTATATAGAACCAAAATACTAACATATTGTAAGGATTTTAATGTTTTAAATATCTCTGTGTTAGAATTCGTAAGATAAAGACTACAGTAATCAAATCAGTAAATTGTTACTGTTACTTTGTGAAAGATTGATGATATTATTTACATTCTAATATGAAATAGAGAACAAGTATGAATGTTAAAAAAAAAATGGAGCATTTTTTTTTTGTAAGCATTTACCGGCTGTAAACTCAAGCAAAAAGTTCTGGTTCTGGACTTTGGTCTTGATTCAGAACTTGAATCTTGCATGCACATCAATTATCAAATCTGGCTTATTTGTATGCAGACTGTTGGTTCCTAACCTCTCAGGCAAATACACTCCGACTTTGAAGGTAACACCCTTAATTAGTCGCTTCCTTTGATAGGCTTGTTGGGGTTTGGGCGGGAAGGGGGGGATCAATTCTTTGTTATAAATGGAACCCACAGATCACTTACAACCTTCATGAATTATAAGGCAGTAAGTCTACTGCAGGTGTGCCGCAGTCTTTTTATTCAGGCACTTTGAGCTCCCCTTTCCTCCGGCCGCCCAAGAAAGTTTACAAAGGGCTAAATGGCTCCTGTAAACACCTATGGCCATTATTGTTATTGAAATTGTTTGTATATTTCATATGATTTCAGATATATTATAAGATTTATTTGTTGTTCATCACAAAATAATAATTATTACAGGTCGTGGGTTTGTTACATGGTTGCGTTGTTCAGATTACGAGTACAGTTTTTGCGAAGACCTTGGGGATCATCACTGGAGCTATGGAGTTTGTGCTTTTTATGATGCTTTAGGCAAGCAGCTGGCTGCTGTGCGGAGAGAGACTGAGCCTTATGGGATCAAACCAGGTGTAATGATGTTGATCTTCTCGAATTTAACTACAACTTTTAAAATATCTACCCAACAAGACCTTGGGATTAAAAAAACATTTGTTATGAAGACAAATAAAGCTGAAGAAATTGTTCTTTAAGTATTTTTTTTTAGTTAAAAAAAAAAATATATACATATATATAGTTATGCATACGTTAATAGTTTGTTGAGACTCTGAAATAGCTTTATGGAAAACTAAATGATCTTAGATATTTTGTTGACCTTTTTTATCTTTCTCTCTGTTCTTCTTTCGTTTCCACCCTTTCTTTCATAGGCCCCCAGCCAATTGAAGCCAACCCTTCATAGATGTGATTAAAATTGGTTGAATTTAGCAGCTATGTAATCGATAGAATGGCATATATGGTCTCATGCCAACCTCCCTAAGTCACCTCTTACGACATGCATGATAGGCTGTTTTATTCTCAGCTTACCATTAATCTTTCTGCCTGGTATGGGGCGTTCACAGGTTGACCCAGCCTAAAATTGGTACCAGGATGTATGTCCTGGGGAAGTAAAGACAGATGACATAATGCTGACCACATTACCCACCTAGTGCCAATTGGTATGTAAAAATATGGGTGCTCTTTCCATGTGCCTAAAAGTGTGAAAAAGGATCTTTACTTTTACTTTTTCTTAACCATTAATCTTTAATACTGAAGTTGAACGATAACCTGCATTAAATGCCACACCATACAATAATAGTTTGCCAATAAAATTGACTCAATACATCATTTCATTTTCCAGATTTGTTACAACATATTCCAAGTTGACCTAAATTGTGAATTGACCAACAGTGAAAATGTCTTCAGATCTTACTGGGAAGGAACAAATTGCCATCATTGGCAGGTGAGATGTCTTGTCAGCCAAGATCAACCTGTGGAAAGATTGTTCTTGTCTCTGTTCATTGATTTTGTGTTGCACAGTTCTATTTATTCTGAATCAATGTGAGAGCTATGGAGAGGCTGCTGCTGTCTGGGTCTGTTCTGCTATTGTGACTGTGAAATAATAATGTAAAACAACACAAAGGTGAGCTTTTTAACTTCTTCAACTGAAGAAGCAGACGGAGCCTCTGAGGGTGGATCTGTTGTGCAAACCACCAGTCAAAAACTGAGAGCTTTGGTTTAGGCAGTTGTAAGCATTGCTACGAGAGCCATGTAGCATGGTGGCTAGATGCCCATTTGCTGGCCTGAAGATCTTTGGTTCAGATCTGTTCAGTGGAGTTAGAAAACAAAAAATTTACTTCAGCTCCTGGGTCAGTCCAGCCTAAAATGGGTAGGAGACAATTTCCTGAGAAGTAAGGTTGGCGGGCAAGTTGTCATCACATCCAGTGAGTGCTGATTGGTCTTGAACTCTTTCAGGCTGAGCAACTCTGTGCATGTTGACTGTGAAGTTTCAGTTTGAGTAGATCACACAGTCTGCATCACTTGTGTGTCCTGTACATATCGATTTGAGTACTGCTCTGTGTTAGCTTCTAGAACTACCATTAAAATATGTTGGGAAGGTAACTCTAACGGTTTTGTTTGTTTACAAGACTTTATGTATACATTTAGGTGCACACTTGTCAAATTTATTGCAAGCGTCATTTTCAGACATGGGAATTTCTGATTTTGTCTTTGACTGACCATGGATGCCAATGTTCCAAGTGCAGGTACGGGCTGAAGCTTTGAAATTGTTTCAGTCAGATGTGTTTGATTCTGATTATAATAATGAAAATTTAAATTTTTCAGAAAGTTACTCGGACATTGAATTTGCACCATTGGCAGTTGAGCGGTCAGCTGTTGTAGAGTCTAGTAATTTTGATGAGTTAAACTTAACATAACCCATTTCATTTGTGAAAGATGTGATAGTCACCCACATTTGCTTCCAAAGGACTGTTTCATAAGTACCCTACTATCACTAAGCTACATTGAATGCATTGCAGCTTTCGTGTGCATTTATGGGATTCTTCTTACTCTTAATCAAGTTGTCGCTTGTTTATTTCTGCAGTGGGCTCATTGGTCAGTCCTGGGCCATGATTTTTGCTGGCGGAGGTTACAGAGTGACAATCTATGACATCCTCCCCGAGCAGGTTGGTTTCCTGTCACGTGTCTGTAGTCATGTGTTTTTTTTATGGTTTTTTTTTTTTTCAAGTTAGAAATTTTCACTTAGTCAAATTCCAACATGCTCAGTCTCTGTATGCAGACATGACAAGGATATTTTGTGTTTTTACTTATTGTTAAGTCTTGTGTACATATGAAATGTGACATATTAAAAACTGTTTATTTATCTAGTCACATAAAAACAAGAGAGTGCATGTTTTATTGTTGTTGGTTGGTGAAAACTATGCAGAGTTTTAACTCTCCTTTCCATTTTTATCCTAGAAAGAAGAAATGCAGCCTGAAAATTTAATTTTGTGGCAGGACTATGGGGCAGAATAAATAGAATTCCTGTAAATCAGGAGGAAAAGATTCTGGTGCTAGATCAGACACACAATGAGAAAATTTAATAATAGTAATATAACTAGAGACAACACAGAAAATGAGTTGAACAAGATGGGGATATCATGGGGTAAACAAGATAGAGATGTCATGGGGTGAGCTGTAAATGATGGCAAAAGATAGGGCAGCTTAGTGCTAGTATGTTGAGGACCTATCCTTCATTGGAGGATGTATATATGCAGAGGAGAATAAGAATGAATTCAGTAGTGTCTGTTCATACAGTGTTATGTAATGTTGCACGTCAAGCAGTTAATCAGCAGTTGTGTTACCATTAATTGTACATCAGTGCATATCTTCACACATTTTTTTTCTTTCTGATAATTGTTTTCTTTAATATTTGCAGGTTTCTAAAGCTCTAGAAACTGTCAAATCAAACTTGACTAAATACGAGACTCAGGGCTGTCTCAGAGGCAGCCTTAGTGCACAGCAACAGATTGGTCTCATCTCTGGATCTAGCAGTCTGGAGCAGTGCCTTCAGGCAGCATCGTATGTTCAGGTATATATCATCATAAAATACTTTTGCTGGCAGGCATACATCCCTTCTTACCATCTCCATAAGAATCTTTTCAGTTTATTTGCTGCAACTTTTCCATGCTATGATAATAAAGATTGTCAGGGATCTTCTCTCATCTCTCTCTATTTCTTTGTTTCTAAATATGTAAATTCATTACAAAATATTTCAATATCTTCTCAGAATGTAGTCATACCTTGTAACTACGCCCAAAGAAATAATTTGCATTATTAAAATTCTTGATTATGCTACATAAATTAGGCACACCATGCATGATAATTTCCTTTAATCCTGCAGCAACCTTTGACACATTATTTTTGATACATGTCTCCCAATGCTTGATTTCAATCAGGAATGTGTGCCTGAGCTTGTGGATTTGAAGAGGAAAGTGTTCCAGCAAATTGATCCCTTTATAACAGAACATATGGTCGTGGCAACTTCAAGCAGCTGCATCGGAGTCTCACAGTTTGCTGGGGACTTAAAAAACAGGCATCGGACATTAGTAGCTCATCCGGTAAGTCGATTATTGTGGAAGTTCAAATTTGACTGAGAAATAGGGGTACAAAAAAAGGGCATAAGTTATGTTAACAAGAAAAGACAATTTTTTTTCTTTTGAGTTATCTTCTTCTTCTTCTTCGCGTTCATCAGCTGTAAACTCTGGCGGAAGGTTCTGGTTGCTCGTCCACTACTGAACTGCAGTCCTGCTCCAGAAGCTGAGTGTTGCATGTGCATCAGTTTTACAGATCTCATTCTCTTGAATACTGACTGTTGGTTCCTTCCCTCTCCGGCAGATGCACTCCGACTTCAGAGGAAGCTCCCCAGTTAGACGACTCTTACGACAAGCTTTTGGGGAGGCAGTGGGTCTATTCTTGTTTTCCCCACAATGGGGCCCTGGAACCCACACGGGGGTCCTTTTGAGTTATATTTGAAGGGAAGTCCACTTTAGTTCAACATTTGCATTCTTGGGCAATTTCAAAACTCTCATTGAATAAGAATAACTAGGGGGAATTAAAGATGTCTATTCAAGATTGGTAGTCTATATTCTCAGCAAGCTTTGATGGTATGTCACAGTCACAACACATGTGCAGCTAATTTTCCAGTCAAGGGAAAGCTGCAGTGACCACCTCCACTTAAATTCTCAAACATATTTTCTTCTGCGTACACATTTAGAAGGGTGGTTATCATGCTGTTTTATAGTTTACAGCTAGAATGTAACTTTCTTGCCCTTTAGCCCATTACCTCCAGTTTCACCAAACTCCTCACATTGCAACATGCTTTGTGGAGGATATAGGGTCATTTCTTCCCCCCCCCTTTTCTCCCATAAAAAAGGGGCCCTGAAACACACACAGGGATCTGTCACATCATTCGCAAGGTTTTCTTATATTTGTATTTGATTTTGGTATAAATCCCCAATTACTGTTTAACATACATTCACCTGTATAGATAATCACCTCGTTCAGGCAAGAACTGGCATGAATCATTAGTTGATTGTCCTAAAGCTGATACTTCTTGCATCTTCTACATCACAGCATAATGAGTTGGCATGGCCAGTTCCTTTCCATGTCACCTTCCTGTTGTCTGCTAATGTGGGGTGACAGCACACTAATATATGGTCAAGTTATAAGGATATGTCTTGCGCTCGAACTCTGTAACCACTCACGCCAAACTGTTGTACACAACGTACGAGCATACTGTCAACAGTTTCCCGTCATACATTTATTCACAAGAATGTTCGGGTCTATCAACCCTCACACAATAACTGATATAAAGAAACGTGACACATGTCCTTGCGTTGGTTAACATAGAATTAACCTCATTACGCTCCATACTCCCTAAAACAGTTCTACCGACACTCCATAACACAGCTTACAACTTGCTGTCGATCAGACTCTTGAGCTCACCGCTTCAGTGCCTGGGTTGCTTGCTACCCTCATGTCAAGGCTAACAGTAAGAATGAACAGGCTGCATCCAACTTATACAGCTGACCTCCATTGATATACTCGTAACAGGCACTTTTACATCGGCTGACTGGGAACCTACAATCCTTAAGCTCCCCATATGCACACAGCAAATCAGCCATGTCGATAAATTCTGTGCTGACTGGCAGGACTCCAAACTCCGAGTCCCCTCAGCACACAGCCAATGCTGTCATCTATGAGATTTCTCCTCGTAAGTAGAATCACTGTCTTGTTTCAGTAGTGAACTTCACCACATGTTATCTCACAGAGGAGCACACAGATCTGGACTGCACTGTACTATGTACACCTGTTAGCTGTTTGTGAGTACTTCGTGTTACATGTCCACACTCATGAACGTTTTTCCCTCATACTAGCCTTGCTCTGCACAAACTAGGTATGACTCTTTACCCAGGCCGGTTGACTCCTTGTGGGTCCACTGGTCATCTCCGGTCCAAAGTCTACATAGACTCACAATATTGTCTCACAATATTGCCTCACAATATTAACTCAGGTTGTGTCAGCACCCCGTCAACCAAGCCTGTACTACATCAACATAAACAATGTTGATACCCCCGAATCGACACGCAGCACTTTCTTTTCCCAAACAAAAACCAACCACATTTTCTAAATTATCCTGAAGATCAGGGCTATTCAACTAAGTTTGCTCGCGGGCCAGAATGTTGAACATGGAGCCCACTCTACAATTGACAACATTTTGAATCGGTGATTTAATACACTGGAAAACTATTACGCCTAGGACGTAGCTTATATAAATGTAGCAGTGTTGTAAACCATTATAATGTAAAGTGTACTACAATCTTCTGTAATGATTAATTAATACTCACTACTCACTTTTAATTATTCTTCTTCTTCGTATTCACCGGCTGTAAACTCCAGCGGAAAGTTCTGGTTGTACATATATTTCTGGACTCTAGCCCCGTTTAAGAAACTGAGCGTTGCGTACACATCTGTTTTAAACGTCTTGCACATTTGCATGCAGACTGTGGGTTCCTTGGCTCTCAGACAGATGTATTCCGCCTTCGAAGGAAGCTCCAAATTAGTCGACTCTTGCGACATTCTCTTGGGCAGGCAGTGGGTCTATTCTCGTTTCCCCACAATAGGCCCCCAGAACCCACACGGGGATCAATTTTAATTGAAATACACGTATTTCCAACTTGTCGTTGGGATCATAAATAAACGTTACCCTTGTGACTTCCATTACATTGGCACAATAACAATAATAACTATCCACGGTTGGTTTCATGTTCTGCAGAAGAAACCGAAAGGTTGAGTTGAGTTGAGTCGAGAATTGACATAACAGCACTCGGGGCATTCCCATGCATGCTCTGTCCTCATCTTCAGCAGCCAGCGAAGAGTTCAAATACTGATGGTACCGATCACAATCGGGTTAAAAGTCCGTCTTGCCTTTCCTCTAAGTGTAGTGAGCTGGCCAGACCCTCTGGTTACACACAGGTGCCTCATTCTTTCCAGGCCATAATAATAGAAACCGAAAGGTATAACGATGCAAAATGTAATTGATGGGAAATTATGCATTTTGCTTTTTGAGCAAATTTTACCAAATTTGGCTGATGAGAAGTTAGAACAATTCTCATGTAATCCTGCAGCCTATTATTGCTCAGTTTGTCTTGATGACATTCACGTGTGATAAGCTTGATTCACAAGTAAAAGTTGAGCCAGATATGGTCAGTATGAATGCAGCAACTTTTCTAGCATTAGGGAACTGCTCCTCTTGCATCCTCTCGTACCAAAACTTGGCGGTTCCACTTTCTTGAAAATCTTCATTCACTGTGATGGAACTTTGGATATACGCAAGTTCTAACTGCAGAGAACCTTCATCAATAAAGGATATCAACTTCTTAGCATTCGAAGATTTTTTAAAGAACCTCAAACGAATAACATTACATTGTTTGGGATATTGACGTCTTCAAATCTGTTGAAATTATTTGATCGGTTAAGAATGCCGAATACAGTGTTGAAAAAATAAAATAGCAAGCATACTGGTTTCGAATTAGGCACAGTTGGTGATATAAATACATATTTCAGTGTCCAGTCACTGTTGAATGCACGATTTTCACATTCTCGCTTTGCTCTTTTACTAATGCTAGCTATGAAATCAAATTTTTAACTAAATTATTAAAGGTAGATAATTTAAAACGTTGTTACTGATTCAGTTTGTTACTGTACAATCGCGTCTGACAATCTACTTCTGACTGCGTCTTGCATGTGACTTCGCGTTCTTCTGGACGTTTTAATCTGATAACAAGATCACTAGCAGGTATTCTGCCGTGTCCAGTGTCTGATGTTCTGCTGCATCCAATGTCATTAGTTTGTGGCGCCCATTAAAGAGATATTCTTTGTAATCTAAGCTCTAACTGTCAGGACCGTGCTGGTATTTCCATACGCCTCCTGTCCAATAAATATCTCATCTTCATTGAATGTCCAGTGCATCTGTGGCCTTCCTACTTGTTGCTTTATTCTTTCCGGCCTATCTTATTACCTTGACTTCAGACAGGCGAGTTTTGCTATTTGAATGAACTGGGAACGAACTTTTATCTTGATCTGATTACTTTTTTATGTTCCTATGCCGGTTCCCTTGTATCTTGGCATTTACAGATTCCTGACAAACACTTCCTATTGAGACATTCGACTCGACTGGTTTGTGAAGAATAAACAGAAACATTAATTGGTTTAATTTTTATCCTTTTAATAACTACATTTTGTTATTTTGGCAACGATCTGTGGGCCACTTGCTAGGCCTCGTCGGGCCACTTGCTAGGCCTCAGCGGGCCAGATTTGGCCCATGGGCCGCCAGTTGAATAGCCCTGCTGTAGATGTTTCATGAGGCTGACTATGAAGGGAAAATAATTCATCCTATGCTCTGAAAGAAGATATTAAAGGTGTTTTTATTTTTGAAATTGTTTGTTTCCTGGTAGCACTGAACAAATTAAAACAAGGGTTTGATCCTCTCTTACCCAGGTGAACCCACCATATTTCATCCCCTTAGTTGAGATAGTACCAGGTCCCTGGACCTTACCAGAAGTGACCGCCAAGACAAGGACACTGTTGGAAGCAGTAGGTCAGTCTCCTGTGACTCTGAGCCGTGAAGTGCCTGGGTTTGCTCTCAACAGGATTCAGTATTCAATCATCAATGAGTGTTGGAACATGTACAAGGTAACACTTTAAATATGGCCGACCAGCTGGGTGCGGTTCTGCAGCTTTGAGGTTAGTGAACACATTTAACAGTTTCATAATCCTCGAGTACTAGAGTTTCCGGGGTAGATGGTTTTTCTTTTAAAAACCTGCTGGTCAGACCATGGTACGAGAGTCACACCATGGAAGAGACTGGGGCCTTACTGTACAGTATTTGCAAACAAAGCAGTGGATACTTTGTAACCAACCTTCACTCTGGTGACAGAACATAGAAACAACTAGAGGTTCTCAAACAGTGAAGAAATAGGGTCACTTTAAACAATGAATACAGCATCACCTTTTGCACACACACTGTTTCATACGTGTCTCACTCTCAACCTTTAGACCAGGCATGTCAGAATGACAGCTTGCCGACCGCATGCAGCCCTTTGTTAGACACCCAGTGGCCCTCGAAAACCCTCAATTTGATATGCCTACTTTAGATCATGTTAGAGGAGTCACATTACAGTACGCCAGCTATATTGAACTCATATAGGTAGATACTGTAGACAGACACATTTACTGTAAAAGAGATTGAAGCACATGTGAATGTATCCAGAATGCAAAGGTGAATATCTAAACTGGACTGAACAAACTACAGCACCATCGTGGATCCAAATGTGTGTATTTTAGAATCACACATGCTATAAACATTTTTAATGACAAAATTATTCTCATTCCTCATTCTGAGTTGATAGCACAAATACCCCCTATTCTGTGCAGACAAATGGTAAGTAATATTTGTAGTTTATTAATAATTGTTATCGTCGGTCTGCATGTTTCTGTTTCATACAGCAAAACTATATTTGGTGTTAGATATTCCCCTTGCGGGTTCCGGGGCCCCAGTGTGGGTTCCAGGGCCCCAGTGTTGGTTCCAGGGCCCCATTGTTGGAAAACAAGACTAGACCCAGTGCCCCCCTAACAAGCATGTTAGGAGCGACTAATTAGGGCTTTCATTTGAAGTTGGAGTGCATCTACCTAATGGGCAAGGAATCAACAGTCTGCATACAAATAAGCCAGATCTGTAAAATACATGTGCACACAACACTTAAGTTCTGAAACAAGACTAAAGTCCAGAAGTGGACAAACAACTAGAACTTTCTGCCACAGTTTACAGTTGGCGAATCAAAGAAGAAGAAGGTGTCAGAATTGAATGTTCTTATTCTCATACATTTTTTTGTTTTATAATATTTTTGTTTAACTTTCTACAGATTTCCTAGTGCTGTAGAAGCTCCATTTGTCTTTTTATATTCATATTTTCCAGCGCTATCTCTTGTGTCATCTTTTTTTGCATTACTGCACAATTAAGTGCATTACTGCATGATTAAGTACATTACTGCACAATTAAGGGCTTTACTGCACAATTAAGTGCATCACTGCACGACTAAGTGCATTACTGCATGATTAAGTACATTACTGTGTGGTTAAGTGCATTACTGCACAATTAAGTGCACTGCTGCACAATTAAGTGCATTACTGCACGATTAAGTACATAACTGCACAAATAAGTGCATTACTGCATGATTAAGTGCAAATACTGCACAATTAAGTGCATTACTGCATGATTAAGTGCAATACTGCACGATTAAGTGCATTACTGCACGATTAAGTGCACTACTGCATGATTAAGTGCATTACTGTCTGATTGAGTGTATTACTGCACGATTAAGTGCATTACTGCATATTTTCAGTTGGATTTCACTATGTGAGATATAAAGGACTATATATGCAATCAGTATTCACACAGACCATCATGACACAAGTTCTTGAAATTCACGGACACATATTTCCATTACATATGTAAAGTCATACTGGTCTATGAATATTTTTTCACTCTGACTGGGTTTTACATATGCACATTACATATGTATTAGAACTATCATTAAGCTTTCATGAACTTTAGCTTTTTATGTGTGTCTGTTGTAGGATGGTCTGCTGAGTGCTAAGGACATAGACAAAGTCATGGTTGATGGCCTGGGACCAAGATACGCCTTCATAGGACCACTTGAAACTATGCACCTGAATGCAGATGGTGAGTAAATGTGAAGGTCTAAAACTTGACACCTCTGTGGTCATATGTGGTCATATGTGGTCATATGTTGTTATATGTGGTAGATTGTTACCATGAATACAATCTAGAATAAACATGAGTTAATGACATGCCTGAATATGGCACACTGATCAGTGAAGTGAATATCTACACATGAAGTAGAAGACAGAAAAGAGAACTGATCACATGCAGTACTTGTATGACTGGCACCACAGTGGTGCACTGGCTAACAAACTTGCCAGTTGGTCATGTGTTTGAATCTCTTAATGATTTGAATTGTTTGATTGACCTAGCTCTTCTGTCTACAGGCTAAAACGGGTGGCTAGCATGATATTGACCAAGTCAGCCATAGAGTGCCAATAAGTCCAAGAAATATGAAGATAGCATGATGTGCCAAGTATATCTCTGAATATGAAAATAATTCATTCAGTTTACTTATTTTAAGAGTAGAATGCTTGAGGCAACACTGTGAATTTGGTTGACTACTGCCAGCGGTACGCACAAGGAGCCTACAATGTGACTTCTACATTCATCCCTCCACCGATCCTGTACGATGTTCCTACAGCTGAAGATATCCTCAAGGAGGTTCAGGAAACCATTCCCCTGGAGAAGATTACTGAGAGGCGTGTCTGGCGAGATGAACGTCTTGCCGCTTTAGCAGCACTGAAGAAACAGCTTAAAGAAAAGACTGACTAAACAACACATTTATTATAAACTCTATTTTGTGATGTCTTATTGTCAATGTATAGAAATGTTTAACATATCTCAGTGATAGAGGTTGCATTGGTATCTCTCTTTCTCTCTCTCTCTCTCTCTCTCTCCCCCCCCCCCCCCCTTTTCAACTTTCTCTTTTCCTCTTCCCTGCCTCTACATTATTAAATGAAAGTGAATATAGCATGTAGGTGAGCGCACTTCTGTCTTCCTCCCTCTCTGTTTTTGTGTGTAGTCTATGAGCTCCAGTAATTCATAGAGGATGTGTATATACATACATATTGTAATTATTTTTGCTCAGGACCAAATCAAGTCAAAGTATTTTAAACACATAGTATTTATTTAAAATTTATGTACAAACAAAATAAAACAGAACCCAAGTGTGACATTTCAGTTGATGTGCAGTAAATTAAAAAAAAAATGTATGTTGCTAGCCATTTCTTTTAAATAATATTTTGTCTTTTCTTGTTTATAATATTATTTCTCCTTATTCTGTGTACAAGAACAAGGGTGATCCGAGTGACTGCAATAACTACAGGAGAATATCACTGCTGTGTACTGTTGAAAAAGTACTTGCTAGAATTGTTCTGCGAAGTCTCCAGATCCTGGGAAACCAGGTATACCCAGAGTCCCAGTGGCTTTTATGGAAACCCGCCTACCACTGATATGATGTTTTCATTACGACAGTTGCAGGAAAAATGCTGCGAACAAAATCAACCACTGTATATGTTGCTTTTATTGATCTTACCTAGGCAGTTGATTTGGTTAGTCAAAAACATCTGTTTAATACACTGAAGAAGATTGGGTGTCCACCTAACCTACTGAGCATTACTGAGTCATTCCACACAGGTATGGAAGGCACCATCAACTTTAAGGGTGTAATATCGAAGGATTTTGTAATCAAAAATGGAGTGAAGCAGGGATGTGTACTTGCTCCTACCCTCTTTGGGATATACTTCTCACTTTTTTTGGAACATGCCTTTTAAAGTCAGGAGTGTGGTATAATGATTATTTCTCGATCTGATGGCAGCCTTTACAGTGCTCGCAGGCTGAAGGCCAAAACCAGGATTAGAAAGGGACTTATCAAAGAGCTGCTGTTTGCAGATGATGCCGCAATAACCACCCACTCAGAGGAGGAGCTGCAATGTTTACTATCTGCCTTTGCTGGTGCGTGCTGTGAATTTGGACTAACAGTCAGCAAAAAGAAGACAAAGGTTATGGTGCAAGGTGTTAATGACAGACCTACAGTCTACATTGACGGTGAAGAGCTGGAGACAGTAGACCATTTTACCTATCTGGGATCCACAGTGAATAATAAACTATTGCTGGACCACGAAATCAACATCAGGATAGGTAAGGCAGCAACAACAATGAGTAGACAAAAAGAGTTTGGGAGAACAGAAAGCTCACAATTAAAACAAAAACCCTTGTCTCAGGCTTGTGTTCTCAGCACTCTGCTTTATGGCAGTGAAACTTGGTCAACCTATTTGTACCAAGAGAGATGACTTAATAGCTTTCACATGCGATGCCTAAGAAGAATACTTGGCATTAAGTGGCAGGACAAAATCACGAACACTAAGGTACTGGAAATAGCAGGTACTACCACCGTCTTCTCAATGCACAGTCTACGGAGGCTCAGGTGGCTGGGTCACACCTGGAGAATGGAGGATGGCAGAGTCCCTAAGGACATCCTTTATGGTGAATTAAAGACAGGTAGAAGATGTCGAGGCTGACCTCTACTACGTTATAAAGATATGTGCAAGCGGGACATGAATGATTCAGGTATTGAGGTGGGCTCATGGAAACAAAATTCCATGGACCGTGTTGTGTGGAAAGGGCATATTAGGAAGGGAATGAGAGTGAAGGAAGAAATGATTGCAGAAAGGATGAGAGCTGAGCGTCTGAAAAGAAACGGATTAAACACAAATGTTGACAACAACGGTCCTGAAATCCCATGTTATCATTGTGGAAGACTTTTCTTGACACGGGTGGGTCTTGCTAGTCACACTCGCCATCGCCATGGGCTGTGAGTCCCATGTCTCCTTATAGCATAATATAACACTATCGTCTGGAAAGAAGGAAAGGTGCCAGTCAATCGTTATTTCGTCTTCTACCACGAAGACATTATTTTCTCTCTACCCCGGGGATAGAATACACAGAAATAAACAGAAAGAAAACTCTCGAGGCCGCAGAAACACTATATATTTTTTTTATCTTTCTGCTTCTTTCTATGCATGGTAATCAATAATAAAAACTCGAAAAGCATCAGAGTTGTGGTTTTACTGGTGAATGCTTACAATTTCATAAACTACCAAAGTTAAAAATGTAAATTGTATGAAATATGCTAATCACATCAGTGAAGATAAGATCCCCACAAACCATCCTTGTAATCTCTGGTCAGTGGATTATATTACTTGAAGATCAGACCTCACATTTTGTTGCAAGCTCCCTTTACATGCCAGTGGCACATCGGGCACATCAGACTCACATTTCTAAAGACCAATCTTTACTTCCCAGAACTTTACCTGATACCCATCTAAGGCTGGGTCGACCTGGGAGCTAAGGTCATGTAGGAAGAAAACAATCTGGCTCTGCATGGATTTGAACCCATCACTTTCAGATCCTTAGGTGAGCGTCTAGTCGCTACACTACAGCAGCTTCCTATATTTTGTAGGGCTGTACCGAATAGTGATTTTTACTATTTTGCCGAATACGAATAGCTGGACCAACTATTCAGCCGATTATGAATATGAATAGTGAATCATCATCATCAGGTGCTGTCCAAGGTATTTTAAGCATTGTTCTGTAAAACCACATCTCTGAGACCTCAAAAAATTGTTTGGCCTGCCTACCGATTGTCCAGGACTCACATCCAAATGTTAAAACTGGATGTATGTAGCAAGCAAAAATTATTTTTCTAACCTTCAATAACAAAGATATATTGCATAAGATGTTCTTCGTTTTATAAAATGCAGATTTTGCCTGTCCTATTCTATTTCTTATTCCAGTAATGCATCTTCCATCTGATGTTATCCATGTGCCCATATACTTAAATTTCTGTACTTGTCCCAAAATAAAACCATTTTATATATTTGACATTATATAATTTCAAATGAACGCTGAAATTTTACTTCACAAAATGTAGTACAGAATAGTAAACATTTCATGTTTTGCATCCTTCAGTCAGTCTGTGGTAACTAATACCTAAGAATGAAAGTATTCTTAGTTTTATAACAAGTAAATAAACTTGCAAATTGTCACTGACAGCTTAGTTAATCCATGAAAGCGGCATTAACTTTCAACGACAAAAAAAATTGTTCCATGTTGTCAGCATTAAGGCAGCTTCTTGTCTCACTGAAGGTATTTCCTGCTGTACTAAACAGACGTTCACTTGGTACAAAGGTAACGCTTGATAGTTTGAACCAAGGTGGGAAATCTTGATGTGTTCATTTTCCACCAGTCCAGAAACTGGTGTAAGGTAACCACTATTCGTATTCGGCCCGACCCCAACTATTCGGCCGAATACCGAATAGTTATTAGGTCCACTATTCGGCCACGAAGCGAATATTTGATACAGCCTTAATATTTTGTAATCAAAACTTTGCAATGAAGAAACGAAAAGGATAAAGAAGTTGAAAGATCGTAACACATATTATGTAATGTTATCTCAATCGACGTCATTGCACATTGGGCACGTGCTCAGTCCCCCCATGCAACAGCCACTCCAAAGTATTTCTATTAATTTGTTTCCTGAGATGTTAGTTATTGTGACGTGACGGGTGGTTTTAATGTTTACAATGTTGAGTAGGGATGTTCCTCTCAACACATTCTCTCCACCAGATTAACCGAACTAAAATCTGAGCTATGTTGCTCTCAGATAAAGTCCTGGATACCCAAGAAAACAACCATATTGGCTCGTTAAGTACTTTAACATTAGCTGAACTTGGTACCCACAAGAGAAGGCAAGGAATTTTAGATGTCCATAGCATTATATTAAATGAATTATTAGACAGGGCACATGATTCCTCCGTCATCTACCTTCTCCCGGTGTTATTATGAATAATTACAGAATTATTATATTATTTGAGCCCCCACCATATGTTATTCTATCCTAACAGTTTAATTAAACAGGTAAGACTGAATACACTTGGAATTACAAAAACTGATGCAGGATAAAACTTGACATACAGCTTTATTTACTAACAATGATATTCCCAGTTTGTTGATTTACACAAACAGTGACTGGTTAATTTGATGATAGTGATAAGCTTCAGCGAGAAAAACAGCTCGGGGTTTAGAGTGGTATGATGATGATGGTAATATTAACTTAAAAGATGTTAACTTAGCTTATAAGCCTCTGACAGCCGTGAGGAACTGTCAAGCTTGTCCAACTCTTCCTTGCCTGTTTTCTGCCTGTTTCAGCTTATTCTCCACTTCATCCCCTCCTCGGTCTCCACATCGTTCCCACCTCGTTCTCCGCCTCGTTCCCAGCTGGCCGAGTCTAACACAATGTAGTCTCTTTCATGGACTGATCGTCACATGGGCGCTGTAATCATGGAAACGAAACACATACGTGTAGTATCTTGACTTACACTAAGAATACATGTATCAATTATTGTAACATATAATAATACAATATATCCCATCACTCCTCCTCATATTCCACATCCTCTCCAGTCTAGTCTGAAGGTCTTTTGTCTTACATGGGCGTCACATATCCTGCCTTCCTCTCTCATGCTATGTCATGATAGTTGACTTTCTAAGTCTGTTGTCCGTCATCATTCAGACTTCCAACTGGCTGACATTGATATTACATGACCACGTGGAGCAGGTTATGTGCTGAAAACTCAAACAATTTATATGTGCACGCTGTCCTGAATATTATCTTTCAGTGACAGTAAATACTGTACACCCATCATTCTTCCCCTGGGGTTATAAATCCCCTGTTTAGGTGAACACATTAAGTGAGCACATGGTGGGCCCACAAAACGTAGCAGCAACCATTGCACATATGGGCATGATTTCCCACAGTCCAAACTCACATTTTGGGTTGACCATGAAACAATATAATTACATTTCATTATAGCAAATGTCATTGTTCACATCTTATTTTATACACATGAAAACATACACTGAAAAACATGTGACACAAACATACAAGAAATAGGAATAGTTTAGCAGTTCCCTAACTGAGATACTGAATACTCACAAAGAACTATTTCAAGCAGAATGTGCAGACAAATTAGGAAAAGGTAGTATAGACTAAGCTTAACTCCCTAACCTATGTATACAAGATTAAAATTAATATTCACCTGGGAACTTTCCAGCAAATGCCGAACACGACTCAACCAGGGAGAAAATACTTTTCAACGGTAGGTCTGAGTCTGTGGCCTGCTGGCGGCACTATGAGGTAAATCTACGATGCCCGCAGTATAAGTATCAATCTATTGTCCAAATTAAACTCCTCCCTCTACTTAGTTCTACACAACCCTCAAGACGATGACTTAAGCCCCGCCTCTGAAGTAGCTATCAGATTAAGTTAGCTAACAAGTGGCCTGTCAGTCAATTCTGGACTGACATCCCTAGAGCAAACATTCTTAAGTGACCCAATCTAGTTTACACCGAATCTAACTAGTCCGTGAAGCCAGTGTGTTTACTATTTGACCCAGATCAAACATTCCTAATTGCCAAACACCTGTTCTGCCAAGAATTACACTGACTTGCGAAACTCCGACCTCTGGGCTCCACAATGTCTAGCGTCCACTCAATTTACCTGGTCAAAAGGGCCCCGCTCAGTCTCTACAGTCTGGTCAAGAGATAACATTTATGACATGGGCATGTGAAAGGAAATTCTCTAGCCCCGGTGTAATTGCGTAACATTACCCAAGACTCAGTCGCTTTGTCTGGACTAAGGACTGGAAACATTTAAATCAATTTTGGTTTAAGTAATATTAGGGTAAAGGGCAGAGTAAGTATAATCCTGTCTCTTTAGAACCAGAAGAACTTATTACAAGTACTAACTTCTGGAACCACTGAGATCGTATCGTGACAGTTATGATGTCTCCTATCTCAGCCTCGAAGGCGGCACATATGAGCATCACAAAGCTTTACTCATACATCACGCAATCTTGTTAGTGACAAGGATTCGTCATTATCCACTAGCCCAGTCCGTACAGCGTTGATAATATCTGCTCTACCCATGCTTCATTCCACATGTGTTGACGTATTGCTTGCCAGCTGGTCCGCTCGCTTGTTATTTTTTTTACACCAGCATGATCAAGTGTGTAGATCCAGGTGACGGAGGTTAAGTGCGATTTTCTAATGCTTTCTACAAATTCAGAGGGCATACCAACTGGTGCCATCTTCTGAAGCTTGTTCATGGAGGCTGTTTGCTCTGCTGCCCATGCTAGTGCTCTAAAAGCTTGAGAATCAGCTGTAGACATATGCTGTGGTTGTAACTGACTCGCAGAGCATATTGAGAAAGATGGAGACAGGCATGAGCGGCCAGCATCACTTCGGAGGTCCAGGCAGTTAGAATCCTTTGGATATTTTCTCCAAGGTATGCCGGTGTGTTGGAAATGAGCAGGTGGATAGACTGGCCGCTTCTGCATCACTTGGTGGTAAATTAACTAGATGTTGTGAGGGCCCTTTGGGAACGAGTGATCAATAGCGTCTGAGGAGAATGACGTTGCAGAGAGTGACCAGGAGATCGACTGACGCTCGAAACTCAAGGGAAAAGCAAGACGAATATACAATCAGACAGTTACTGGTACCATCGGAATCGAAACTCTTAGCTTTCTGCTATAGATCGGGACGGAGCGCTTTATGGGGGTGTCCCGAGTGCTATGATGTCGATTCTTAAATTAACATTCAAGCAGCGACTATCTCGATGTTAGTGCTTGGCGTAGTTGCCTGGTAAGCGCCACTGTCCCCATCTTGTGTACTGTATATGCCCGCGCTGACCTTGATTCGCTCTGCACGGATCCATCTGTGTAGATAATGATGTCTGCTTACTATAAATGCTAATCTATCAGTGCCGTTACCCCTGTGTCTAAGGCCGCAAGAGTATGATCTCTGCAGTACCTTCCGAGTGTGGTGACAACCTTAGAGATGCCATGCATATGTACTGGTGTATTCGTCTATTCTTTTCCGTGACTGATCTCGTCTAGGTCACATACCTGCTGGATGAAATCGTCGGCATTGGTGAATCCTGTGAAAGACCTTCAAGTCCTATGCATTATCATTCAGTTATTTTAGGCTCCCCACAACTTAACAACTTTCAGAGTAGGATACAGCGGACGTACAACCCAGGTATTGAACCCTCACTTCTGAGGAGATGCATGTTAGAATAATTCTAGTAGAACACACGAACCGTCTGGGATTGGACAGAGGCGAGCTGGCACAGTGTTCTAAATGGTACTTGGGCATCTCCGTGTGAGAACACTTCAAACCAATGGCCAGTGTGAATGAGTGTGACAGAGTGATGAGAGTTTACCCCTGAAGTTCTAATGCTTCAATTCTAAAACTACTAAAGAAGAACAGAAAGCGTGAAGAGGGACAAATCAGTAGAGCAGGAGCTTTCACTTCTTCTTTCTCTACTTATCTTTCACTGCCTGCAAACTCAGGTGGAAGGTTCTAGTTGTTCGTCCACTTCTGGTCTTTATTCGTGTTCCAGAACTAAATTTTGCCTGCAAATCCGTTTTACATATCTGGCTTACTTGCACGCAGAGTGTTGGTTCCTCGCTGCGCAAACAGATGCCCTCTGACCCGGATGTAAGATCCCTAATTAGTCGCCTTTTACGACACGCATATTAGTAAAGTAGTGGGTCTACCCCCACCCCCTCCTTCCCAACCAAAGAAGATGAGGCCACTTAACCCTGACGAGGTATGTCTTTCATTTTATCACTGTTTCTACAAATTTCTTAATAGTCAAAACATCTAAAATTTTCGAATTTCTCCCCCCCCCCCCCCCCCCCTCTCTCTCTCTCTCTCTCTCTCTCTCTCTCTCTCTCTCTAGCATTGGGGAGGGGGTAATTCAATATTTCCGGTTGTTTTTAAATAACCGAAAATAACCGAAACAGGTATGTTTGAAAACACAGGTGAGAAGCGGAGACGTCACTCCGGTTTTGTTTACAACATGGCGTTCTTCCTACTTGTGTTCATTTCCTGGTTAACGCACATCACACACGGTACGTGGTTAGTTATAGGTCATTCAAATTGACATCAAGAAATTGTACAAACTAAAACGATGTTTAGAATTCCTTTATCATCTGAAATTATCAATATCGTGGTCAATCGTAAAGTACGTTTCTGATTCTGACTTGACTTGTCTCCTCATCTCATCCGCTGTCTCTGTAACGAAGGTTGTTATTGTGTAACTGTCAATTAAATTATTATATTATAGCAGAGAAGCATCGACAGTCATAATCTTCCACAGCCCACTATATTCAAAAATAACAGTGTAATTAACAAACATACAATGTAACAATGTATTGATTTGATTGGCACATAATCATATCATATAAAGTCTGAAAGAAGATTGAAGAGCACACTAGACTAGACAACATAAACTACATCGAAAGCTACAGTTACCGTGCCGAAAATCGAACCTGTCACCTCCATATAAATAGCGTGTGCGCCTCGCTGTGGAAACAAGTGGACTAAGAACATGGTCAGCTAGGCACCCCCAAAAAAGATGTATTAATTGGCCATGTCTACCATACAACTTGAAAGCTACAACTATGAAATACAGACAGAATTGATTTCGGCTCTCCTATCAACTACGACCGGTAGACAAACATCGACGGCCAGTTAGTCGGAGTTATGTCCCCTTGCTACAGTGCAATTATGGACTGGAGAGGAGGGAACAAAACAAATGACATAATTACTGTGTGTTGCTGATAGACAGCATACGGTTTGGGTTAGGGGTTGGGTTAGGGTTTGGTTTAGGATGTGGGTTAGGGTTAAGGTTAGTGTCGCCTCATCTCGATTAACAAACACAGTAGATTGTAATGCAAATCCTAGAATTAACCAAACATTTGAGAAAGGCACTATTTGATTGGTAGGTTCCATTGTGTATGTTTCGTCATTCACAGATGCGGGTAAAAAAACAGAGGGGGAACCCTTGAGAGCCCGGGGGATGTCGACCTAAAATACTTTGATTTTTGCCGCCTCAAAATGTTGCCCTGGCAGTGCTGTGTTAGGCTAACCGGCCGAAGTTTTTGATTATCAGCTTCCGTGGGATTTATTACGTGTGCAACAATACACACGGGCGTCCGATTGTAATGCTTTGTCTAGAATTAACAAACATTTGAGAAAGGTATTTGATTGGTAGGTTCCATTGTGTATACGTCATTCACATAAAAAAACAGAGGGGGAACCCTTGAGAGAGAGGATCCTAAAATACTTTGATTTTTAACTCAAAATTTTGCCCAGGCAGTGCTGTGTTAGGCTAATATTTTTTATTATCAGCTTCCGTGGGATTTTTTACGTGTGCAACAATACACACGGGCGTCCGATCTCACTACCCAGAGACCAGGGTAAATTACTAAAAGTACATGTGAATAAAATCTCAGCCTGAACCCGGGACCTCCAGCACTCAGGGCGGATGCCATGCCTCGAGACCACTAAGCCCCCCGACACCCATACATAATAAGGCAAAGGCAGATTAGCGAAGAAGGGATCCATCAACAGTAGTGTACATCAACAAATCTGAAACCACCAAGCAGCTAATAACTATACATAATGGTATTGATTTTTGATTATACTCCAAAAATTGTGTGTGTTAAATGATGCAAAAGTCCCTGTGTGCTGTGTAGCTCCGTTAAAACATAAGTAAGCAGACGGGGAACCTTTGAGGCCTTTAAATATTATGAATTAATCAAGTAACATAAAGTGTATTGATTGGCACTCATAGAAAGAAGTAGAAAGATATAAGAACACACTAGACAACATATAAATTGAAAGCTGTAGATACCGTGCCGGTAATTGAACCTGTCACCTCGAGACGATGAATGTATCGATCGGCACTCAAGAAAGAAGTAGAAAGATAGAAGAACACACTAGACAACATAAAAATCAAAAGCTATAGTTACAGTGCAGGGAATTATACCGGTCACCTCCAGACAGCGTGTATTGATCGGCACTCATAGAAAGAAAAAGAAAGATAGAAGAACACACTCATAGCCTCCATCTGGAGGTGACAGGTTCAATTCCCGGTACAGTAACTAAAACTATAGCTTTCGATTTTTATGTTTTTTCTAGTGTGTTCTTCTATCTTTCTACTTCTTTCTATGAGTACTGATCAATACACTTTATGTTACTTGATTAATTCATTAAAACACAAGGAACCATTGACAGGGAACAAAAGAACTGACCCACTGGTTCTTTAGAAGCAGTCACACAAGGGGACTAGTTGATGGCTTGGCTTGCTGGAGTTGAAAGGTGCAGATATTGTAGCTTAGCTGTAGATCATTGCAGCGTGCCAACAAGTTGAAAGGTGCAGATAATGTAGCTTAGCTGTAGATCATTGCAGCGTGCCAACAAGTTGAAAGATGCAGATAATGTAGCTTAGCTGTAGATCATTGCAGCGTGCCAACAAGTTGAAAGGTGCAGATATTGTAGCTAAGCTGTAGATTATTGCAGCGTGCCAACAAGTTGAAAGGTGCAGATATTGTAGCTTAGCTGTAGATCATTGCAGCGTGCCAACAAGTTGAAAGGTGCAGATATTGTAGCTAAGCTGTAGATCATTGCAGCGTGCCAACAAGTTGAAAGGTGCAGATATTGTAGCTTAGCTGTAGATCATTGCAGCGTGCCAACAAGTTGAAAGGTGCAGATATTGTAGCTTAGCTGTAGATCATTGCAGCGTGCCAACAAGTTGAAAGGTGCAGATATTGTAGCTTAGCTGTAGATCATTGCAGCGTGCCAACAAGTTGAAAGGTGCAGATATTGCAGCTTAGCTGTAGATCAATGCAGCGTGCCAACAAGTTGAAAGGTGCAGATATTGCAGCTTAGCTGTAGATCATTGCAGTGTGCCAACAAGTTGAAAGGTGCAGATATTATAGCTTAGCTGTAGATCATTGCAGCGTGCCAACAAGTTGAAAGGTGCAGATATTATAGCTTAGCTGTAGATCATTACAGCGTGCCAAATGCCTTTTTGAGGATGAGCTTACAAAAAGAAGAAATTATCAGTATCGTCAGTCATATCACTCAGTATCTCTCAGGCCAGATTTCCTGCTCAGAGTTTCTAGAGTGTGATGTCTGATCACGCCAGTTTTGTTTTGGGATATGACATCTAAAAATGTGTACTTTTGACAGATGAACTAATATTTAGATTTTTTAACTGATTTATGTCTATTTGTCTGTTGACATGTGAACTTATATTTAGAATTTTTAACTGTTTTGTGTCTATTTGTCTGTTGACAGGGGAACTAATATTGAGATTTTAAAATTGTTATATGTCAATTTGTCTGTTTACAGGTGAACTAATATTTAGATTTTTTAAGACTTTTTTTTATCTGTTGACAGGGGACATTATTCTCCAGAATAACGCCCAGTGTAAGGCCTGGGTGCAACACCTGGAGCGAGTCCAGGACATGGATGAGCTGGAGGTGTACTCACACAGCGGCAGAGAGTATTATGCTCCAAATATGGATTGCATCGTCACCATCCTCGGCAAACAGTACAACCAATGGGAGATCACTTTAACCAAGATTAATATTGACAAAGATAAGGACAACTGCAAGACCTCTCGGCCGCCATGTTGTAACGATTTTCTGAAAATATTTAACAGTGGGTTGCCTTTTCTTCTCATAACACAACACTAGTGCAGTTATAATCGTTTATAAAAGTCCCAAAAGAGATGTTGTCATTCTGGTGGGAGATATTGAGATGTTCTGGGCCATGACTAATGAAAGAGTTCACAAAAGCTTTTCTGAGATGAAGAGGACAAGGTGAAAGGCAGACCATTTAAATAAGATAATAACATAAAAATAAGATCTGCAAAGATGATATTAGACATTATCATCATCCTCAAAAGTACAAGATCTTGAAGATCTAATGCAACCTACCTTCACTATGAAAATTGCATCTCCCTTGATCTGGCTAGTGATAATAATAATAGTAAAGTTAGTTATTTATGCCCTTTGAGAACATTCAAACCAGTCCCGACCTATATTGGCTATTTGTGGTTTTAGTTGACAATTTTACTTTTAGCAATTGACCACTGAGGAGCTGGTGGCCAATTGGTTAAAAACTCTAGGCTCCTAATCGGAGGACCCAAGTTTAAATCCTCGCTAAGGTCATGGATTTATTTATGTCAGAGAAAAAATAAATCTTTACATGTAGAATGTTGAATTAAGAATCGCCATCACAGCACTCTGGACACTCCCATAAGTGTTCTTTCTCCATCTTCAGCAGCAAGCACAGAGTTCCAATTCCGATAGTACCAGTTCCAGTCTGATTGTATATCCGTCTCATCCTTCCCCTGAGTGTTGAGCATTCGCCAGATCCCCTGGTAACTCCTCACAGAGCCATTCTCCTCAGACCATTATGATCTGTCTGCGTTTTCGCACTGTTCCAGCTCCCAAAGGGCCCTCACAATATTTAGCTTGTCATACATCAGTTCACCACCAAGTAGTTCAGAGCCGGCCAGTCTATCTGCCTGCACATACATCAGTTCACCACCAAGTGGTTCAGAGCCGGCCAGTCTGTCTGCCTGCACATACATCAGTTCACCACCAAGTGGTTCAGAGCCGGCCAGTCTATCTGCCTGCACATACATCAGTTCACCACCAAGTAGTTCAGAGCCGGCCAGTCTATCTGCCTGCACATACATCAGTTCACCACCAAGTAGTTCAGTATCTGCCTGCACATACATCAGTTCACCACCAAGTAGTTCAGTATCTGCCTGCACATTTCCCAGCACACTGGCATGACCTGGAGAAAATATCCAAAGGGTGCTAACTACCCGGGACCTCTGAAATGATGCTTACCATTCTGCACGGAGCATGCCTGTCTCGACCTTTCTCAACATGCTCTATGAGTCAGTTACAATCGCTGCATGTGTGTACAGCTGATTCTCAAGCCAGCGGAAGGCAGGAGAGACTGCCTCCATTCTCAAACTAGACATTGTGATATCATATGCAAGGCTTTGCTGCACTACACAGTGTAAATTCACCTTCACTATGAACCCCCATGCACTTCGTGTGCCCCTCACCACAGAACCATCTGTATACACAATCACATCACTTGGGCGGGAATTGTCATGAATCATTTGTTGAACTTCTGATTCTGCAGCACCAGCTGACCAGTCTCTGCGCTTACGACCCAATGGGATTAGAACCCTACACAAGTCTGAAACTTTTTCAGACACCTTGACCCACTCCTCTCTTCGCTCAAATTTATCAAGCCTGCACACATGTCCAATTGTGACATCTAAGACCTTACTCTTTTCAGTCTGTGACCCTTAGCTCTATCCTTAGCTTCATGCAGGAGGTGCTTCTTGTCTGCAGAACTTTGAGCCTTTCTGCAATAGTAGGGTCACATGCTGAAACATTATGAACAGCATTCTTTGTTCCATGTCCATTGTTGCCATAATCTCAAGAGCATTGAGTCCTATTTCAGCATTTCACCGCATTTGACCAGTACAGTCTGTGGTAACAGAACTAGCTATGCAGCCCTAAATCCTCAGACTCAAATACCCCCTGCTTTCACTACGAAAAACAGGCAGTAATTGGCAGTTTTTTAAATGGCAACTGGCCATTGCTTTTTGCAAGGTCGGCTGTTGATACCAGGGTCTAGATCAACTCAGAGTGGTTGGCTGCCAAAACTGCATGCAACTGGAATAAAACTGGGTATTTCAGAATTATGAACCACTTTCACAACCCCTCAGCCTTGGATGACTTGGCTTAGTGTATAGTGCTAAACCTCCCAGCCTGGTCTGGAGTTCAGGTTACTTCATAATTGTCGGGGTCCTAATATAATCACTGAATGGGGCTCATGATTGGTACATGTAAGATTCTCATCCTCGTGGTGTTAGGTCTGTGGACTGCAGTCCTGATTGGGCCAACAGTGATACAAGTAACATATCATAATGTGGTCTGTTCTAGGAATAATTTGGTCTGTTGTAGGGATAAATAAACTATTCTCTTCTACAGGCTACCGTGTGGACAACGCCCGATTGTTCCCTTCCATTCCTTGGCAAGGTTTATGTGGCTCGGAACTGCCTCGCCAGGCCACCTACACATCCACACAAAATTACATAACCATCCAGTTTTCAGCCAATCCTGTGAGTGACTACATGACTGGGTTTGCATTACATTTACGACAGTATCCACGGAGGAATTCTGGAACAGAGCTCTCTCAGACTGGGTACATTGGAGGTAAAAAACAAAAATGATATGTTTTCATTGGAGACATTTTGTTTCAGCATTGATTCAAATCTCTGGTGTTATCATGGAAATGATAATTGAGTGAAGTGTAGTACTGTTTATTTTAATCTTTTTGTATGTTATCACAATTTACATGACTGCACATCGGGCATTCCTTTTGTGCTCAGTCCTTGAATGCATCAGTCACACCAAGATAACTCTGTACTGATTGTTCTATGAAAAATTGTTTACAGTGTCTCTTATCTTGACCTAGAAGTTGGCACGTCATGCTTCAAACTGAGGTCATGTAATCATGTTACCATCAGAGATTCATCAATGTTGATGTTATCTGCTCATTTCATGCATCTGTGCAGTGGTGCAGTATTTAACAGCTGGTCTAATCATTTAACACTGGTATAAGTTTTGTCTGCTTCTTACTGTGTTCACATATGGATGTTCTGTTCACCTGTCCCAAAGTCCTTGTAAGCTGTATACTTCTGTATGTACTTGTTATTTCTATGTAAATACCTTTTTGTTTCACTTTGTCATGGATGTTCTAAGGATTACAGCTCTATTTTATATCTCTCTCCCCCATACACGGGTATACATATATTTAAAAAAAAAAAAAAGAATACTTTGATCAGATTTAATTATAGAGTAGCCTTTCTCGGTCAGGGCTCTCTGGAACCTCAGGTGTTACACTGTGGGAGGGTGTTGGGTCATTAATGGTTCCATGAGAATTAGTGATATCACATAACGTAGCTGAATAAGTTTGTCAACGTGAACAGATCTTGTTCATTGGCCGGTCAGCCTAAAGTTGAGTCTTTTAGTTGTGTTCATTGCACTACTGTGGTGGCTCTGGGCAGAATTTTTTTGTATCAAGGCAGGTCTCTGATCAGACAATAGGTTGAAAGTCTGAAATGATGAAGAAATGAAATGTCACAGTTATCCGACAGCCATATCCATGGTTTCACAGGTCTATCCATGGTTAAACAGTTCTGCCCGTCGTTCAGTTTGATTTAGCAAACCTGATTTTAGGCACAGATTGTGACTCTTAAGAGATTACTGTTATCTTTTCACTTGATCCAAGGCTATTGGTTCTTTCAGGCTGGAATGATGGCTATTTGCGGGAGCTGCAGATTGACTGGTCCGCACAGGAACTGATACCTGGAGATTACCAGCCCGGTCGAGATCCCAACTTTGAATATGACCCCAATGGAATTTCCTGTTATGAATGTCAAGGTTGCAAGCGGGACTACTTCAGAACCTCTGACATTGGTGTCACTATCAGAGAAGGCTGTTTTGTTTGTACCAAAGAGTGGCTGCAAGGTGAAGTGTTGCAAATTTGTGTAAATTGTAATATGTTGTTGTTATTGATTCATTGGCATCTGAGCCTCTGCCTTTCATGTGAATGTTCTGTAGTAATATCTTTTTCTTTTTAAAGTCCACGTTACTTTGGTAGTCATGTCTATCCAAAACCTTCTGTCTCATGTACTTTAAATCATCTCTGACACAGATGATCTTCCATGACAAGATGTCACACTGTCCAGCATCTGTTCTCTCTCTCTGCCTCTTCTCCCTTAAACTTTCCTACCGTCGATTGTCTCTTTCTGATGTGGGCAACAGTTCTCTGCATGAGTCATTGTTTTGCATTTTCATTACTCTTATTATCTGTCCAGGGAATTCTCATCATTCCTTTATACTTGCATCAGCAGGAGACAATCTACATTTGTTTGATTTTGTCATAAAAAGGGGAACAACTGGAGTACACCATTGTGGTGAGAACATTGGAGGGAAGGAGACAGCGAGAGAAGATTCTGGTCTTTTTGATATCATGGCATGGAGGATTATCTGTGTCAGAAGTGATTAACAATGCGTGAGTCAGAAGGCAGACGACATTATTACCATCACACAGCGTTGACTAAAATAAGGACAACAGCAGTTTTCTGATATCTGTAAGAGATTGTAAAGTGTTGCAGATTTTCCATATTAGAATAAGCCAGAACATTAAGTCTCAATATAAAGGATGTTTTGGTTACTGTGAAAACACTGATGATACAAATATTTAAAATGATGTTCAATAAATTGTTCATATTGTTTTGAAGTGTCTCTTTTATCTGTCTGGTCTGAGGCAGAAATAGAATATCACAACTCTCCTGTCCTCTCGGTCATGTGATATTTTGATAACATATATGTTGCTTAGTTTTGTTTGTTTGTAGCTCTTCTGTTTATGCTTTCCACATATATCTTTCTCTGCCTATTTTTTTTTTCCGCATAGGAGTCTCTCACTTTTTTAAAAATCTCTTTTGTTGATAAGTGTTTGTTTACGTCTAATTTATCTCATCATTTTATGATTTTCACCTGGCTCAGAGGGACTGCCTTATTTATTTTTGAAGACTTTGCACCCGTAAAAATGAACAGTTGTTCAGAAATGCCAAATCATGATTCTCTTGTTGCTAATCTTATGTGAAATGCTTGCCCGTTTACAGGTTCTTCACTAACAGCAAGGACTTGCATGTCCAGGAACTCTTATCAAGAAAGACTGAGAACATTAAGTGGTAAGTTGCTCTCATTTTGTAAATCTCTTGAAAAATTCAGTGGTAGATTTCTGGCGTATGGTTTATTTATTTTTCTTCTTCCTTTCTCTACTCCGGGAGTGCCTGCAGCGTCAGGGCAGGAAGAGATCTCTGGGGCAGGCCCTTCTGTTCTCTTTGTATAAAGTACTTTCTTGATATTCTTGGGTATGTCTCTTTCATTCTAGTCAATCAGTGAGATCTCTTCATTTTCTAGTTTGAAATGGTAAGTTACTCTCATGTCATAAGCCTATACTCTTAAAGAGAAGAACACACCAGCCAACTGTCATTTATATTTTATGTTTGATTGATGACCAAAGCCTCATACCATGTCCAAAAAATATTGTCTCTCTACGTCCGAATGTTCTAATAAGTTTACGGCTTTCATCTCGATGATGACTGTTTCATTTCTTTTTCAATCCTTCCACGATATTCTTTGCATTCTTCTCAGAAACCACATCTCTGCTGTGAGTAAAGGTTCTGTGCAGCACTTTAACACTTTTTCTTTCTCTCTGCAGTTGACATATATATATATGTATATATATATATATATATATATATGTATGTTTGTTTTTTCATGCAGACACCTCAGGTGGCAACTCGGTGGCAGATTTCAGAGCCTGCAAAACACTTCTGCGGGGAGTTCAAGGCACCACCTACATCAACCTTTGTGTGTGCCAAACAAACAACTGTAACAAGGGAGGCAAAGTGAAATTCAGCTGGCATATCTTTTTTGTAGCTGCTGCTGTTCTTGGCTTGCTTCTTACTGCATGATTTATTGTAAGCACATTGTTGAGAACAATATTTGTGACAGTGTCAACATTTATTTTATACAAATTAGTGACACTGAGTCTTGCATCATATGCTCAATGAGCCTGTGGTATTAACAGTTTTTTTTTTTTTTTAAACAGAATTAGTGAGATGGAAACCCTGAGCTGAAATATTGATTTTTAAACCATTACTGATTGTTGACCAATTTGTTACTGTATTGTTAGCATAATCATTTAATGTTCATGATATGAAACAACAAGAAAAACATTGGGTTGGAAAAGGGAGGGGAGTGGATGTGAGAAATAGAATGAATGAGCAAAAGGGAAAAATGGGGGGGGGGGGAGGGTTGGGTTGAGAAAGACAGAAAGACTGTGTCACCTTGTTAAGCATTATGGTGTGAAACGTATTTATAATAGTTGAAGAATTTTTATTGACATAATGGTGATACAGAAACATGCTGTCATACACACACAAAACCTGCGAGAAAAATGTAACTTCTTTAAAAACAAAATCTACAGAAATGTCAGTCCAGCTGAGTGGGTCCGAAGTAAAAGACAAAAGAGAAAAACAGAAATCACTTAAAGCATTTCAGGGCAGCAGAGCAAGAACAGTCAGTCAGATTGATGGAAGCTTGGGTGAGGAGGTTTAATGACTTGAAGTCTAATAAGTGGAAGACTGGTAGTTAGAATTCTGAAGCGTGGAAGCTCCATTTGTGGAAACTTGAAGAGTGGGATACTGGAAGGCTGGTGAGTGGCATATTTATAGGTGGAAGTTGATATGTTGAGGGTTGAGATACTGATAGATGGAAGCTGGATGAGTGGCATACTTATAGTGGAAGGTTGAGGGTTAGGGTAATGATGGATGGAAGCCGGATGAATGGAAGATTCATATGTTGAGGGTTAAGGTACTGATGGATGGAAGCTGGATGAGTGGCATACTTATAGTGGAAGGCTGATATGTTGAGGGTTAAGATAATGCTGGATGGAAGCCGGATGAGTGGATGGTTGATATGTTGAGCTACTGATAGATGAAAGATGGATGAGATGGAAAGTTAACAGAGCCTGATAAGTGACTCCCAGTTATAAATGTACAGGCTGAATGGTGCTAAAAGTAAAATAAATGACCCCCCATTTCCATACTTTTAGGGGTATTAGATGTATAGGGCTAGACCTATATTTTATAAACCAATCAGCACTTGGTGGGTGATGTCGTCAGCATCATGTCAACCACCTTTACTTCCCAGGACTGTTTCAGGTACCCACTCAGGGCCGGACCGACCTGGGAGCCAGGGTCATTTTTTGAAAAAAAGTTCAGCTCCATAAGGACACAAAACCCATAGCCTTTCAATCCGCAGGTGAGCACCCATAGTCAGAAAGAAAAACAGCAGTAGTAGCAAGAAATAATGGACCAGTTTGCATGCTCAGCCAATGTTTCTAATGAAGTGGTCGTCAGTACATCCTTTCCTGATTCCACTTTCCCCATCCCCTTTTTCTGACATAAACCTCAGGTCCTCACTTTGTTTGGCCAGGTGAGAGCTGGGGCTGTATACATTTAAGACTGGCTCATAGTTTTGGTAAGTCAGGGAACTGTCATGTTGCCATTTTGACTAGCATACATTTTCTTATCGTTAACTTGCTACAAACTCTGGTGGAAAGTTCTGGTTGTTCATCCACTTTTGGACTTTGGTTTTGTTCAAGGACTTGAGTTTTGTGTGCAGATCTGTTTTACACATCTGTCTTATTTGTATGCAGACTGTTGGTTCCTGGCTTTTAAAGCAGATGCACTCTGACTTTCAAAAAAAGATATTAGTCGACATTTACAACATGCTTGTTTTTTTTTTTTTTGGGGGGGGGGGGGGGGGGGGGGGGGTCCTCCATTCTTTTTCCCTACAGTGGTGCCCCTGAACACACAGGAGAAAACTTGTATTTAGGAAGTAAGCATGTTGAATTTTTGTGTGTGTGTGTGACTTAATGGGAAGTCAGATTTATACCTTATGCAAATGGTTCAATTTTTCTGCACATTCCATTTGTACTTATACATGTTTTGAATGTTTTTATATCTTTACAGTAGTATCGTTGTAATATGTGTGCCTTCCAATCATGATGTTACAAGGTTAGATGCTAACTGATGTGTGAGGTGGCACCTGTCTGTCTTTCGGGGTTATACTGTGCCAATGAGGAGCCATGGAACTGACAACCCATGGTGATGGCGAATGTGACTAGCTTCCGAGAGCAGTAAAGACCAGAGATGAAGTTCCTCCTCTCTGTAGTGTAAAGCCTGGACAGTATTGTAGAGACAAGTGTTGTCCATGCATCGTAACTGACATAATGTTGAAGCATATATACCTTTTTTTATTGTGTTTGTGTGGAAAAGATGGGAGTGGGTGTCACAGACTCGACTTTGCTATTTCTGCATGTCTGAGGTTTCTTCTCTTGGAACGGGCCAGTCTGAGTAAAATAATAACAACATTTTTACAAGCAGATGTCTTATTTGAAGAAGAAAAAAAAGCAGCACATTTTTGTGGATCTTGAGTTCTAGGTTAAATCAACTGACTAAAGGTTCAAATCCTTCTTTTGCATTCACCCTAAAAAGGGTGTTTGGGAGGGTGTGGTTTGATTTACAGCTAGACTGTGATATCCGCGACTTTCAACCTAACATGTCTGATTTCAGCAATTCATTGATTGGTCACCATTTACAACATGCTTGTTAAGGAGCAATGGGTCTGTCCCCCCAACCCACCCTAAGAAATTGGACCCTGGGACCTACACAGAAAGCCTGAGGATCAACCAGTAGAAAGGGCAAATTATGTTGAAAGTATTCTGAGTCTCTGGATTCAAAGGAGTTAGACTGGTAGTCTTAGTTTCAGCTTCATAGCAAACAGGTTACCCCATCTTTGTTCCGCTCCTGTGCCAATGAAAAACACACAGAATGTTTATCAGTCTCTTGTGGAAAGATTGACAGACTGCTGTCTCAACATATCTAGCATACACACGCATTAAAAGCATGTGGTAGCCATCCAAAGTGCTAACACAAACAGTTTGACATTAGAAATACAGTTCATCATGGTTGGTAGCAGAGTTATAGTTTGTGTTTAGTGTTGTGGTAACTGGGACGGACAGTTTATCACTTAACTTTTAATGTATACCATGCATCTTTTGTTGTACATCACCAAAATGTTTGTTGGATATCATGTTGACTACTTTATGAATGAGTTCTGTATTTACTTACTTAACTTTTGAATGTATGATATACTTTTGTGATTGTGTTTATGTGTTGCAGGCAGCAGGGCAAAAGGGAGAGAGATTGTATGATCTTATAATTATCCAATTATTTTTGTTTGTACAAAGACAACAAAGGCAGCAGGTAATTCACTGGATGCTTTACAAATGCAGAAACAAATTTAATCAAAGAAAATACACTTTAAATATAAATACAGTTAGAGTGGCAATAACAGACCTGCACTCAATAAAATGTCTAAAACAATTAAAAATGTGTATTATGTACAGAGAGAAATGAACAGATTGCAATGAATCTAGAGGTGGTGAAAAGACACTGAATAGGGTGTGCACTGAGTAGACAAGATAATAATATAACTGCAAGATTCATTGCTGGAACTCACAAGGTAAAGGCAACAAAGAAGGTTCTAAAAAATTGTGGAGAATATTATTAGAAATACAAATGAATAATATGGAAAACTGAATTTAGGGCAGTAAAAGCAACATATAAAGACATGAAATGCTGAGTTTTTCATGAGGGAAAGCTAACAGACCGATACATTTGAAATAAGAAGAGGTGTGCGACAGGGATATCTTTTGTGGCCTCTCCTATTTTACTGGCTATAGACTGGATTATGAAGACAGTAATTGCTAACACCAAGAATGGAATTCAGTGGACCCCTACAAAACAGCTTGATGACCTGGACTTCGCTGATGATATTTCTCTTCTGTCCCATTCACGGAACCAGATGCAAGATAAATTAATTATACTTGATGTGAAATCACAACAGCTAGTTCTAAAAATCCATAAAGGAAAAACAAAGATAATGATAATAAATCAGGAAAATAGTAATGCTGTTTCTGTTAATGGTCAAGTCGTGGAGTTGACACCTATTTGGGCAGTTAGTAGATAAAGAGGTGGTACTGATTAAAATCTGAATAGAACAGGAGCTTTCATTGCATTAGGAAATTTGTGGAGGTCAAAAAAAAAAATTAAAGCTCTAAACTAAACTTACAATTGTTAATTCTAGTGTCAAATCAGAACTGTTGTATGAAGTGGAAATGTAGAGAACAACTAAGACATTTACTAATAAACTACAAACATTCATTAACTGTAGCCTGTGTAGAATAGAGGAAATTAAATGGTATGATAGAATCACCAATGTTTAGTTTGGGAGACAAGTTCCAGTGGACCAGGAGGTAAAGAAAAGATGCTGGCGGTGGATACATGTATCCTACATGTTGAGAAAACCTGAGAATGTTATGACTGGAATGTCTTTGCAGTGGAACCCACAGGGACATAGAAATAAAGAAAGACCAAAAAACATGGAGAATGGAGCGAGCTGCATGCAATAGCAAATGATAAAATGACTTGGTGGGAGTTAGTTGAGGGCCTTTGCTGAAGTGAAAACTGAAAATGCAGAAAGAGAAACCCTTATGTGAAATGTCAAGAAAGAAGTCAACAAGGACAATTGTATGAGGTGGGCATTATGTTATGTTGAAGCTGAAATATTGCAGTTATAAACATTCCACTGTCATTATTGGATGCACTTTGCTTACATGTGAACATTCCTGAGAAGTGATTACCTCCTGCTTACATATAGTTTGTTACCGAAATTAGTACAGTAAATTGACTTTGATTTGATCATTCTCTGTGTTTTAACTGTTTCCTTGACATCTGATCCATTTGTATTTATGTGGCTAATTTGTTGATATACACTTTATACTACGGTAAAGAGCCTGAAGCCAGATTATCTTCTTCCACAACTTTGGATTCTGTTTGTGCAC